CCCAGCAGCAGTAGCCAGTGACAAGGCTTCCACAGCTAAAAAGCACTCCTGGTTTTTTTCTAGGGTGATGTCCCTCCACTTATGGTGGTTTATGGTTTTCCCACCGGGCAAATCTGTGGGAGGGTGGACCCTAGTGGGGAGCTGTGTTCTTGGTTCATGCGTGACTGATTCCCTCACAGAGCAAGGCTGCTCCCTGGGGGAGGCATACCCAAATCTCATTCTCCTTCTGCCCAAATCCCTCCCAGGAGCCAATGTCCATGAGCTGCTGAAGCCTCCGGGTGAGTACTTCACCCTGTGGGACATAGAGGAGGTGAGTGACCGCCACGGTGTAGGGCAGCGAGCACGAGACAGCCCTGCAGACAGTCACCTTCCCCTCTTTCCTGCAGGGCCTGGTGCAGCACAAGCCCTCGGTGCTTTTCATCACCCACGGCGAATCCTCCACAGGGGTGCTGCAGCCACTGGAGGGGCTGGGCAAGCTGTGCCACCGGTCAGTGCACAATGGGCACGTGTGGGAGCTGGTGGCACCCCAAGGTTGCTGTCGAGGATTGGGACACAGGGGTTTATGTGCCCTGGGCTCTGCTCTGGCTCTGTTGTGCTGGAAGTGGTTGGTGCCTGTGAGACGTGGCCTTGTGGGGACTGGGATGCTAGAGGTGGAGGAAGAGGAGTGGCAAGAGAAGGTGGCAGGCAGAGGTGGCAGGGACAGCAGGCTGAGCTCTATCCTCCTACAGACATGGCTGCCTGCTGCTTGTGGACGCAGTGGCCTCGCTTGGGGGAGCCCCCATCTTCATGGACCAGCAGGGTAAGACCCACCAGTGCCGTCATGGGCACCCAGGGGACAAGGGAGGATGGGCAGTGGGATCAGCCCCATCACCTACATTTCAGGCTAGGAGCACTAGAAACTGGTCCATCTGCAATCAGAGAGCTCTCTGGGGGACTGTCAGCAGTGGTGGGGTGTCCTCCAAAGCAGGCCAAACACAAGCAGGGTCTCCAGCATGTGCCATCTGTGCTTCCCCCCACCTTTTGCAGCTGGGTTGGGGGAGCTTCGTGCGTCTCTGCTGGGAGCTTGATGCTAAGCCCCTAAGACGTTGCTTCCCCTCTTGGGCAGAGATTGATGTTCTGTACTCAGCGTCTCAGAAAGTCCTCAACACACCCCCTGGCAGCGCCCTCATCTCCTTCAGTGAGCAAGCCAGGTAAGGGCAGCCCTGTCCTACGAGGGGAAAAGGCAGTGGGGCTAGGGGGAGGCTGTCACCCGCCCCATTGCCAACCATCCACTCCAGCCCTGCTCCACAGAGCAAGCACAGCAGCAGCTCTGCAAGGTCAGAGCCTGGCCCATCCCTGGGCAGTGATGGGCACAGAAGCCAACCTCCGCACTCACTTTGCCTCTGTGTCTGCTTTAGGGGGACCTCCCACTGGACTGTCCCCACCCCAGAGCTGATGGGGGTCAAGGTCTGGCCCCTCTGCAGTACTCTGCTTCACCAGGGAGAAGATGCTGAGGAGGAAAACAAAGCCCTCATCCTTCTACCTGGACATGGGCTGGCTGGGGAACTACTGGGGCTGTGACGGGGAGCCACGAAGGTGAGGGCAGGCTGTCCTGGGACAGGAGGCTGCAACTACCCCACTCACACCCTTCGCCCCACCTGTTTCCCCCCCACGCCAGATGAAGATGAGGGAGAAATCCATGTTCCAGTTCCCCTCCACTTCAACCTGGAGTACTGCTCTGCTGCAGGCTAGAGCAAACCCACCCGGGTGCCCCTTGGGTTTTCCAGGTACCACCACACGGCGCCCATCAACAGCTTCTTCAGCCTACGAGAAGGCCTGGCCTCGCTGGCAGAGATGGTAAGCAGCACCAGGCAGGAAGGGGGCACCAGCAGTGCTTGGGGGAGCAGTGGGTGCCAGGAGGTCCCGCTGGCAGCAGGGACCTTCTCCCTCCTCTTTGCCCACAGGGTCTGGAGAGGTCTTGGGAGCGACACCGGGTCAACTGTGCCCAGCTGTGCCAAGGGCTGTGTGACCTGGGGCTTGAGCTCTTTGTGAAGGATGAGGTGGGTGTGGGGTGACCCCACCATCATGGTGTGGGGGCAGGTTGAAGACATGGTCTTGTGTGGCTGGAGACACATCTGGGTAGGTTTCAATGCTGGAGAAAATACATCCCCTCAGTGATGCTTTCTCCTGGCAGGCTGCCAGGCTCACCAGGGGACAGAGCTGCAGCCAGAGGCTGCAGATTTAACCCAGTTTCTCTCTTCCCCAGAAGGTGAGACTTCCCACCATCACCACTGTCAAGGTGCCCAAGGGCTATGACTGGAAGGAGATCACAACCTTTCTCATGGAAAACCATGCGATCGAGATCGCTGGGGGGCTGGGCCCCTCCGTGGGCAAGGTAGGCAGTGTCCTCCCCTCCTGCTGCCCACGGCCAGGCACTGAACCCAGCTGCAGCCACATCCCTCAGCTGTGTGCCCCACAGTTAACCAGTACTCTCTGGCCTCAAACAGCAAACACAAAGCTGGATGTATCCCATCACCTGCAGCAACGTGTAGTGGTTCCTCACCACACGCAATTGCTGCGTGTAATTGAATAATCATGTACATGATTAGGGTGACACATCTTCAGGAACGTGTGTCATGTAGGAGCAAGCTGGGAGTTACACACATGTCCCCGTGTCTGGCCACGCACAACTGTTCCTGGTGTGACCCCTGCTCCGGGTGGGAGCCTGTGCTCTGCCACCAGCCGCTCCACTCGCGGGGAGGGGGCACCGGGACGTCGGGGCAGGGGGGGGGCGCGTGTCCTCGTCCCCCAGCCGCTCCACTCGCGGGGAGGTGGCACCGGGACGTCGGTGCAGAGGTGGGCACTGCAGGGAGATGCTCGTCCTTCTCCTCCCAGGTCCTGCGAATTGGTCTCATGGGCTGCAACTCGACCAGCGCCAACGTGGAGCGTGTGTTGCGTGCCTTGAGAGACGCTCTGGGGCGCTGTCGCTGCAGCAGGCTGTGAGGAGCTCTGCGAAGGGGGGATCCGGACAAGGTGGTGCAGCACTTCCCTCCCTGCCCAGCTACGGGCAGCCGGCAAGCAGAGAGGCTCCACTGCCTCCTGGGGTGCTGACAGGAAATGCTGCAACACCCAGCAACCCAGGCCGGAGCGGGAGGAAGCTGGAAGTGCAGGGGACGTGGAGGTGAGGGCTGAAGCTTGGTAGCCCACGGTGTGGCTCAAAACCACCTCTCTGGATCCGCCGCACAGGGTCGTTCCTCAGACTGATGGCCTGGCCCCCGCAGCTCCTCCCCTTCCCCTGTGCCGTGTAGTCCAGCCCTGTCCCCCTCCCCCGGCATGGCAGCCCCACCGCAAGCTGACAGGAGAGCTGGATGCAGGATCTGACCACAGGTCCTTTTCCCTCCCTCCACCAGCCATCCCTGCACTAGAGCCCAGCAGTGCAGGACCCCAGCCACCCCACTCAGATTACGTACCCTGGCACCTAACACCCACCCTGGCACCCAGCTGCACCAGGGGAGCTGAGGGGCTGTGCATCCCCACCCCGCTGCAGCAGACATGCCCTCACCCCCCAGTACCACCTTCCCTCAATAAAGCAACATGGCAGCAAGCTGCTCCCTGGCCCCATAGCCTGCCTTGCCATCGCCCAAGGTTTGAGACATCCAGATAAGGTGGCAGTGGGGTCCTGCTCAGCTCTGCTTGGTGGTTTCTTGCTGGATCTTGGAGAGGAACTGGGACATTGCTGAGTTTGAGTTCCCAAGACCAGCTGAGGGGCTGGCAGTACCTGGCTGAGCAGGATGTCAAAGCAGGCTGTGTTCCAGCAGGACCCATTCTTAGCAGGGAGATGCAGGAGTGCTCAAGTGCCAGGGTCTGCCTGCCAGCTGTCAGTGCATGCAGAGAGCCCAAAATGGAAGCAGAGGACATGTTGGGGGTCCTGTGTGAAGCTATCCACACAGATAGCCACACAAATGTGAAGATATTCACATAGGTAGAGGGAGATGAGGTCCAGGACTTCTTGGAAGATGTTCTTTTCTGGGTGCTGGAGGTCAGGCAGGTGATGGATGGGCAGGCAGTGGAGAAGAATCACCAAGAGCCTGTAAGCTGTGCCCTCCAGGCCCTGCCAGTCCTCTGGGGAAGGGAAGAGCTCTGTGCTCCACAGCAGCACCATCTGCGGAGAGGGAGAGAAGGGTGCAGGATCAGGCACTCTCTACAAAGGCCTTCACACCCTGTGGGTCACACTGTGACCACCCGTGGGGCTGAGCCCTCCATATGGACCCCTCAACTGGGGTCATCATGTACCCAGTAGCCTAGGGCTGCTGTTGGAGCTGCTGCTTCCACTGCTGCAGATGCAGCTGATGCCCCACCACTCCCCAGAGAGCTCCCATCTCAGCTCCAAGGCAGGTCTCAGCTCCACAGCAGCTCTAAAACAACACACCAAAGCTTTTTGCACCAAGCAATAGCAAAAAACCCTGCTTATGGTTTCCATCAGCCACTGGCAAGGCAGGTGAACTTCCAGCAGCTTCCATGCCAGCTTCCTCAGCACTGCGCTGGCAAGCAGCCCAGCACTGATGCCTTTCAGCCACATGGCATAATAGGGAACACACACAGCAGGCTGGAGCAGATGTTTTTTTTGAAGGGTAGATGAGTACTATGCCTTTAAAAAAAAAAATCAAAGAATGCAACTTAAAGCAAAGTCCCCGGGATTTGAGTTACTTGGAGCTGGAGCCATTCTTTCAGCAGAATACAACTCTGCCTCCTTCTCCCCCCCAGCCTGGCGAGTGGCCACAAGGCAGGGCACACCTGGATTGTGCCACTGGGTGCTGTCCCCACAGCACGGCCCCTCTCCTCACGGGTGTCCCAAGATGGTGTGGGTCCAGAGCGCCAGGAACAGATCGGGTTGAGAGGGGAGGGTTTTGCCAGGGAAGATGCCACCCTCAGCCCGCCACGGGCACCTCGCAGCACAGGACAACTGTCAGCATGGCAGGCACGGCAAGGCGGTGCCCAGCGTGGCCCCGGCAGGCTCAGGCAGCCTGTGCCAGGGGGTGCCTGGCACACCAGCAGAGCTCCGGGGCGCTGCTCAGGCTGGACGGCCCTGCTGCAACCCGCAAACCAGCCCCGCGCACACGCCCC